TCTTTAACGCGACAACCCGGTCACTCGTTCCCTTGCTCGAAAATCTCTTAGCCTCGACAGCACGATCTTAGCACGCAGTTTCCTCTCGAAATCTCCAAGAAGAAGAAAAAATATGGAGCTCAAAGGACATTTCTAATGGATTAAAAAAATGGAATCTCCGCTTTTCTAGGCTTTGTTAAAGTCAAGTGGCCCATCGACGTTGACAAAAGTTCCTCTATTTTCCGTTCGGAGACTCCAGGATTTATGGCAGGGTCTTGTGGTGTTTTGAAAAAGCGATATTTGCCTGCGACGGCGACCGCCTGACTAGCTGCCATAAATCCGGCTGCAGGATACGCCTTAACAATTACATTATGGTCGTTGAATTGTCTCAATGCCTGCTAGTTAGTAGACGAAGAAGGCACTATAGGATTGTACGTGTATAAAAAAAATTAAACATGGCCTTGAGAACTTACTCTAAAAAGAGACAGCAAAAATCTAAGGTCCTATGAAATCGTATCATCTGTGACAAAAGAAATCTCGATCGGTGCGCTAATAGCAAAAATAATTGGGGTGGTCCACCCTGCATGTGCACATAGTTCACACCGATAACTTTCGCCGGACGCTTGTATGCATCCATAGCACTCAAAGGGTTGAAATGCGCACAGGAGAGATCAATACGCGGTGCTGGCAGCGTATCCATTGGATTCGTCTTTTAATAAGCGCCGCTTCTTTTCCCTTCTCTCCCTCGTCCCGCCAGACGACCGGTCAAAAGCGTGATGCATTCGTCAGCTGAGGTCCTTCTCTCCTTTATCTCCTTGCATTCCCTCGTCTCGGTATTTCCAATAGTTTCTCTGTACTTTTTCCTTCCTTCGTTACCTCCTCCATCGGCTCCACAAATTATTTCTCTCGAAGATAAACGGAGAAGAATGAAACCACGGTTCCTCCATTCGCATCTCTTCTCCGTCCTATCAACTCGTTCCGCTTCGCTGACCTGCTTAATAAATAAAAATAAACGACAAATCGCGCGGCGAACGACCAGGTTCGTTTCACCTGGTTGCCAAGTGAAATGTTAATTATCGCGTCGTTAATCGATGAAACTGCCCCCTTTCTCCTCGCGCTCGTTTCTTCTTCGTCTCTTTTCTTCTCTTCACCCTCGCCCGGTCACCTTAATCCACAGCTTTCTGCGTGCCGCCGATAATTGCACACCTCTGTCGTGGTTTCGACCTTGTTTCACTCGGAAATCCCACCAACGTTCTACTAAACTTTCTCCACCCTTTTCCTAGATTTGAATACTCCGAAGCGGCCTTTAGATTCGATCTTCGTTCGACAACACCGCACGCTTTACGATACCGAGGAATTCCCTCCCTCGCCTGGAAACGCCTAATTAAACAACGCTAATCAGCGTAAGAGGTGAAATTAGTTCGGAGAGGAAATTGTATTTTAAAGGGAGGGAATTTCACCGGGTGCTCTATAACGTATACCGTGGATTTTTGTATAGTCGCTTTTCGTAGGTTGATAGACGCAACTGGGGTGAGAAAAAGTTGGGCAGATGAACGTCGTCTAGTCACGGTTTACCTCTGTGAGAAGACGTGTTCAGGTACGTTGTGTGTGTCTATATTCCTCTCTATCTTTCGACTAAATAGTCTAGTTTTCCAGCGGAGAATAACAGTGATATTGTTCTCGTGCACGTAGTTCTTGGAACGACGGAGTTCCCGTGTTTCAAAGCTAACTAAATATAGAACGTTGCTGGAATTATCAAACGTTCGGTGAATTGTTCTCTTGTTCGCGAAGTGTACGTGTACATAGTGTTGTTTAGCGCTTGATAACTTCGTAACGGCGTGACGTTTGATCTGCGAAGAGTAGGTGATCATTTGAAGGGGGGAAGAAAGAATAGGATAATCAAATTGACCGGACGAAACGAAAGAAATTGTCAAGATGTCGCGACTATTCGCAGAAGTTTTCTGTGATCGTCGTAGCTCGAATAGTGTACACTGTAATAATCTATCTTTCGCGAAGATGAAAAAGATTCAACCGTCACCTGTCCTCTCTGCTTCGTATCCTTGAAACATTCATACATGTAGCGTTGGAAGAAAAGTTTCTTTTTTTTGTCACAAAGAAGTATCGTCTATTTAATTGGCAACAGCGATCACTTGTAGAAATGTCTGGATATGTTTTTGCGCGACGTAAAAACTCACCGTTGAGACGCGTAATTTTTAATAGGCGGAACGTAGAAGATTGCCGGGGTGAAATGTAGAATGAATATTGATTACCATTGTTGGGACGGTGGAACTTTTTCTGTTGGCATTGAAGCTTCTATCGTTTGCAGTATCTTTCGTGTACATTGGACGAGCACAATGCGTCAGTAGAATACTTAATTTTTCCATGGTTCGTTCCTTTTTTTCTAATCTCTCTCTGTTTCACTGACAATCAACGAACAATTTTCTCTCGTTTATAAAAACTAAAGTGACCGAGATAAAGAGTACGGCCAAAGAAACGAATAAACTATGTTTCAGGAACGTTTTGAAAAATCTTTTCGAAAATCTTGGTCCCCTATTCCACAAGGTTCTCTTACTTATAGAAACACTGAAATAAAGGGTACGACCGAAGAGGCAAATAAACCGTATCCCGAGGAACGTCTTGAAGAATCTTGATCAACTATTGCGCGAAACAATCTCCTCGCATTCAAGAAACCCCCGAAACGAAGTGTGTGACAGAGTGGACTCGTCATCGGGCAAATAAGTTTCACGTGACCACCAGAAAAGAAGTTGGAATGCAGCGTGGTAAAGCCCGAGCCGTAAAATTGTTCGAAAACCGCATAGCGGGAACCCCCTCCAGCCCCTTTCGTTCTCCGGTAGAATCTCGACCTACGTTCAGGTCTCGCGGTCGCTTCCGGCCAAACATTCGCGTAAGGGTCTCGCGGCGGGGGTTGAATTGGTGAATTCTCAAAGAGAGGGAGAGAAGAGAAGAGAATGGACCTAGAACGAGGGAGAGAGGGTGGTGGAACGAAAGAAAAGTTTGGGCGTATGCGGCGTGGATGCTCCCTCTCGCTCTCTCTCTCTCTTCTATATACCTTCGTTTCACCATCGTCGCTGTTCCTCCTCCCACCCCTCGTTGCGTTTCCCATCTTCCCTTCTCCACCCTTATTCTCCGCCGTTCAATGTCTCCTTCTTCGTCTTTCCACCCCCGATGTGTAGTGTAATCGACGTAGCGCGTTTATCGAACGACTGCGCGCGCACCGATAACAGGGGTATGGGGCGTGCTACGTGTTGGTTGGTCGCGAGAAAGACTGGCGGTGGACGGACGAACGAACGAACGAACGGCGACGTCGACGTCGACGAGGACGACGAGGACGAGGACGGCGACGGCGACGTCGGCGACACACGCCAGCCAGCAGACACGAAACGGAGAGAGCCCGCCGCGCCACACTTCTCCGTGACTAGCTCTGCCGAACGTACACACATACATACACACATACCGTATACCATACATACGCGCGTACATGGAGAGAAGTTGTCAACAGTGACAGGGACCGTGTCGCGAGCGTGTTGTGTACTTGTCGTTACACCGTGTTCGACATCGCCCCGTGGAACCGCGAGTTATCAACGGTAAAACACCGAGAAGAGGAAGAGGAAGTTTGATTACGGTGGTTGATCTCTTTCATTTCCAAGACACAGGATAAACAAAGAGACGTACAGATGATGCGAGGGTGACGAAGAAGTGAACGTTTACTGCGCGGATTGTTTGTTTGTCGGACGAGAGATGGTACGGTTCGGTCGAGGAAGCAGGTAGATTGGTAAAAAGGGGACCTCGACGGGGAACCGCGTGGAGGAGTTGGGGCGAAGTGGTTACAGAGTGCGGCGAGAGTGCGTCGAGAGAGTGGTGCCGTACAGGGAAGTTGAGGGAAGTTGGTAAAAGGATCGTGATCTAGAGAGAGAGAGATAATAAAGATGTTGATGTCTTTTCTAATCGAAGGAGGAGACGACAAGATCGATCATCGGTGAAGAGATAAACTCGGTGTATAGAATTTCCGTTCACCTGGTTGATCCTCCCTCCGAGCAGAGGCGGAGGGCGGCTAGGCATCGATCGTTCGCCATTTTGCACTTGTCGACCGACATCTTCTCCACGCATCGACGACATTTTTCCCTCGTGACAGGCGGCTCGCGGTGGAAGGATTTTATCGCGAGAAAACCGCCGGACTATTTACTCGTTTCGTTGGAAGAGTGCCGGCCGAGTGTCGCGTATTTTCTTTCCTCGTGAACTTGTTGGCTTATCGATTGCGGTTAACCATATTACGTATCAGCCTCTATCGTTCGAACAGAGGGTGCGCGGTCGCGTTCATCGTATCTGACGAAACCCTACCAGCGTACGTAGGAAGAAACCGAAGAGAGAGTTTTGCTCGAGTGAGAATTTTCTCGAGTCGTGTGAATTTTTGTGTCAGGCACAGGTAAAAGAGGAGAGACAGGGTCGTTCAGGTCGTAGATAGAAGTCAGCAGGCTGGGAGGTCGGCTAAGCGAGGTGTTGGGTCCCGTCGTGGAGGAGGCCATCGAGCCAGGGGATGAGACCCTGCTGACGGGACCCTCTTGGGAGTCCTCGGTTCCTCGAGCACCCCCGCCACCCCCCAGCCGCGTTTCCACTCTCAGACCACCAAGAGCTCCGCCCACTACGTTTCAGCAAACACAGGATCCGGATCATCAGAGCGACGAGGTGAAAGCGGACACCTCGAATCCGGGTCATCGTCGAAACACCCAGAATACGGAGCAACAGACGCAGAATCTGGAACGAGAAACGAGTCCTCCGGGTCGTACGACCCAGAATCCAGGGTCTCATCGTACGAATCCTGGTCCGAAGCCACAGAAAACGGAGGAACAGAGGGAGAATCGTGGTCATCAGAGCCCGAATCCTGGGCAACAATCGACCAGTCCAGGTCATCAGACCCAAAATCCTGGCCATCAGGTGCAAAACGTGAGTCGTCAGAATACTAGTAACCAGGTGACGCAGACGGAAGAGCCGTCGTTGCAGCAACAACAACAACAACAACAACAAACTGAGAGTCAAAGAATCGGCAGTATGGGTACGGTGTTGTCGTCTAGTCCGCGTGACAAACGTGGCTCGGTGTATCCGCCACCGGGTCATCAGCACTCCGCTGATTTCACGTTGAACAATTTCAATTACGAGCAACTGAACAACGCGAAGAACAGGGAGAACAAGAGTAGCGTCGCTACGGTGGCGCCGGCGCCGCCCACGAATCATCCGCCTACGAACAATAACTCGTTGCAAAATAACAATTTGAATTTGAACAACAATGACAACGGGAAGATTATATCGGAGAAGAACGCGCTCGAGAAGAACCTGAAGAAGCACTCGTTG